TCCTGCCTATGCAGGGGGTCGGACTCGATGATCTATTGAGGTCCCTTCCAACCCTAACATCTATGAATCTATGAACCTGGGACCATCACTGGGGAACAAGCCCAGCTCATTAACTCCCAGCTATGCATGTCCAGCCCTGGTAATCAGGCAGAGTAGGTACCTGAACACATGCTCTACTACTACTCCCAGGTGCTCTGTCTTATGAAAGTCTGAGATTGGCACTGGGATGTGCCCCTCTCAGCTGTCTGCTCTGCCTAATGGCTGGGCTTAGATGCATGAGTGGGATCAAAAGGGCAGGACACCATTCACACTGATGTTCTTAGGCTTAGCGGGGAGGTAGGTAAAGACACACCAAAAGACTCCTTGTCCGGCCATAGATCTGGTATGTTGCTTAGATGAAATCTTCCTGAGACTCAGACATGAAGAAGAATCCTAGAGCGAATGTGTAAAGAAGCCATGAAAAGCATCTATTTCAGCACAGAAATCACAATGGAAAATCTGCCACCAGCAGCTACAGCCTGTAAAAATCACAGAAGCTACTGAAGTAGTAGCACAAACTTGTTTGCATGCTAAATCAATACACTCCTACTAATTTTAGAAATCCCTGTAAATTCAGTCACACGAAGAGCAGCTGTTCTAGCCTGGTGTGTGGGAGATACAGAAGCACTGTTTACAGATATTCTAATCTCCACATCTCCTATATATTCCGGTCTGGAAGGCAAATAATCTCTCACAGCAGTACCATGGAGAGAGCACAGGGGAATGAAATTAGCAAAGAGAAATTGCTCTCAGCACTGCACATCCATCAAAAATAAAAAGGATCTTCTGGTGCTAGCTGAAAAAATGCAAGGCCTACTCACTTCTTCACATGTCTCTTCCAAGACTTGTCTTCACTCCACCAAAAGAGTGTAAGAAAAGGTGACAAGGAGCACCTGGCTGAACAGGACTCTGGAGTACAGATTTCAGTCAATGAGACAAAGTTTGGAAAGCAATAGCTTCCTTTTTTGGGTTCCTCCTAAGGGATGGTAATTGATAAGAAGGGAAGTGTTTTAATTAATTCCAAAAAGGACATTAAGGCCTCTTCTAACATCAGGTGCTCACAGAAGCATCCTTTAAAATATTAGAAACATTTTTTTAGATAAGATGGAAACAGGCAGTGATTTTTTTTGGG